GCAGCAGTTTTCAGATCTTGCCACAGATCTGAAAAAGTTGCAGACTATGTTTATATGAAACGTGTGTATACTTACTGCATTTGATGTATTTTAACCATATGTAATACAGATGTTACAGAATGCATCACGTGTAATTGATTGTTGTTGATTTTGCCACCCCATTTTCCATCCTAATCTCATGAAACCCTAAATAAATTTCTTTAGATCCGCCCCTGTGTAGTGTTTGAAAGGTTCTATATAAATAGACTTGCCTTTTGTAAATATGCCAAAAAAAAATCTACACGTTTACAAAAAGTGCTCTTTTTGTTCTACAAAAAGGAAAAAAAAAACACTGTAACTACAATGATTGATAGTTTTGACCATGATTCAAGCAGTGACATGTGTTCTCAACATCTCAATCAGGGATTTATCAGTGAAATATTAAACAAAAGCGAACTTAGGAGTGATGAGATTTCTTATGGGGTCCGTGTTAAGTCTGGGAATCACATTTTAGGAGACTCAAAGTTACGGTCTGATCTCTTTCTTCACTGATTTAGTTTAGAAATTGCAGACTTCTGTTTGCTCTCGACACAATTATGTGCACTACTCAAGTAACTTAACGGTCAGTCTAAAAAAAACCGTCTCTGATGGTCGACATAGAACGCCTCCCGCGCATCCTGCTACGGTCTCGCGAATCATCGTAAGATTTCGGCTTTTTCCGGCTTACCTCATTCAGTTAGCTAGCCAAGCTGATTAGCCTGCTACTACAAGCTAATGTTTGTATGATATTTAATGTTGTAGCCGAATCTGATTGGATGATACAGTGAGTGCAGAAAAATGGCGGACGTAGCGGGGCAAGAAATTTGTTCCCCGGTCCCTCCGTCACCTCACCCTTCTTCTCGTAACGGTTCCGGCAGCGGTAACGTTACACCGGGCACCGGCGGCAGCTGCCAGACCGCAACCACCGTTACTTCAGGCCCGCGGCTGGTTCGGATAGTGAAGTCTGACTCCGGCTATGGGTTCAACGTTCGGGGGCAAGTAAGTGAAGGAGGGCAATTACGGAGCATCAACGGAGAACTGTACGCCCCACTGCAGCATGTTAGTGCGGTCCTTCCGGGGGGTGCCGCCGACAGAGCCGGCATTTCGAAAGGGGACCGGATTCTTGAGGTGTAAGTACTGTTTTTTTAGCTTCTCTCCAAGCTGCTTATAACGTAAGTGATGAAAATGACCTGTTTCACTTTCCGGACGATCACGCAGTGAGCTCAAGGCAAACGTGACTTTATAGCATCATTCAGTCAAACTGGGAACACCAAGGTGCCAGTGTGTGCATGCACTGTGACACCGGTCCTGCAGAAGAGCCGTTCATCCCAATGAAAGGAGTGTCTGTGTGTGTCAGAGAGAAACGATCCGGGGATCATTAGAAATTCACGTCACACTGAAATCTATTCCTCTCATCCACTGCATGCCAGATATTTCCAACTCACTCCTGTGCACATTGACATCATCCTAAGCAGATGCAGTGTGGGTCATTTATCAATGAAACACTTTGTTTACACGAATCATGAATGGTAAACCAACATCAGCATCACTGAATTAGATGTTACTTAGCACTGAGGATTATTGCACCTGGTTGGTTTGGCATTGAAGTGTTCAAGTGTGTGTTGAACTGTTGTTGTGTGGAGTAACACACAGCATCAGCATCAGTACTCATGCTTCAGTGTGTCTGTGTGCATGGAATACCATGATGCAGAGAGGGAGGGATGCCTTGAGTTCAGTTCTGATTGGCTTTATCCTCTCAAAGTCACTTTCTGATTGGCTGGCTTTTGCACACTGCTGTGTCAATGGATGGCCTGCAGTAACCTGGCAGTTTGTTGACCCCATTATTTCTGTGTGCCAGCATGTGGATGTGTGCCTGATCATTTTGTTATCATATACAAGATACCCCTCTGCTAGTATTATTAGCATGGTATATAGTGATCATGTAAAGCTACAGTACACTTACTAAATTTACTAGCCACATAGTATCCTTCAAGACCAGAGTGTACATAATACATCAAAAAACTCAACTTTAACAGTGTGGGACAATAATGAAAACATGACTCAAAATGCAGGATCAGACAATGTAAAACTACTACTTAGAAAAACATGAAGTGAGCTCAGAAATCAAAGACTCAACAGGAACAGAATAAGTCAGACTCAGGTTTAGAATAATAAAGAAATCAAAACAGGAGTCAAGAAGACTAGAATAATAAAAGCCAAACAGCAACCCAAACACAAATATATGCACTACGAATCCTAACCTTGAAAAACCACACAAAAAAAAGAAAACTGGGACCATGGCAGCCTGAGGTTATATGAAGGTTGTAAGGTGGCACATTATGATGCTGAAACTAACCATTAGAAAAAACGGTAAAACCACGTGGTCATCGAAAATCCTCGGTTGGCGACTTAAATGTTAAAGTTACTGTTGACTTTCTTTTTTCTCTGACCTCTGCTGTCAACAGAGCATTTCAGTTACTGGATGTCTGTTTTGAGATGCTTCTGCCTGAAATCCTGAAAGAGCTACAGTTTCTGAGTAACTCAAAACAGCCAGTCTGGCGCCAGCAGCCATGCAACATTAGTGACTTGATTTTAACCAGGTCCTCTTCATCGTGCTTAATTAACATGTGATTGGCTGGTTAAACATTTGCTAGTTTAATACAAGTAAGTAGTAAAGTGAGTCTAAGCACTCACATTCACGCTGGAGTGGCTGCATACTAGCTGCAGCATGTCGAGTATTTTTATTTATTTGCACTTTTATAAACAGCTCCTCCTCTCAGACTTAAATTCAGTTTGTGTTATTCAGCATAATTATTTCAGCATTCTGTTTTATTATAAAGGTCATATATATTGTTTAAACACTTTTCAAGGTGTCAAATGCATTTTAATTTGGCCTTTAAACTATGTGTGAGGGGTTGAACATTTATACATGAAGTACAGAACACTGCATAGTGCATAAAGTCACCTAATAAATCCTTAAGCTGCGGCAAAAACAAAATGAACACATACTAGTAATTTCAATTATAAAAGCAGAACTAGAAATCTGTCACATGGGAAGGGTGTCTACTGTAAAGTGTTTATCATAGTCAAAAGTGCTGATAGTGGCGGTGCAAAGGCCTCTGTGTCAGGTCCTTATTATATCATCATAAAGCTGCAGGAAGGAAAGAGCTGCCAAAATGCTTGGTCTGCATTTTTTCTTGTAGGACACGTTTGCGCTTTCTCCCACTCCACCTGCAAGATTGTTATATTTGTGTCCTCCATATTAGTCTTTTCTTACTTTTACCTACATAATCATCATTCCCAGCTTTGCTATGTGTGCACTGGCTCAGAATGCCTTCTTTATGTTGAGTACATGTGTGTAGCTATTTTGTTCCACTGTAGGTGAAATAGAGCTTATGTTCATCGGGCTTCAACCCTCCATCTAAATGCCAGCATGGCAAACATAACAGATATGTATTCATTCAGTTGAAGCATTTCCTGCATTTCCTGTCCTGGCTTGTTACCATCTCAGTGGTTGTTTTTAATATAAGTTAGTGAAACATTTGTGGGCTTCTCACAACGTGCTTGTTTATAAAATGTGAATTAGGACACTCAAACCTTTTGCATACTATCACGCTGCCTAAAAGATGTCACCCTGTGGTGATGTGTTTTTTAAGTCAACTAAACCCTAGAATTGGGTTTTATTTTCTGCTCAAAGCATATTAACACACTTTATCCCGTATTTATCACAACATGTGTTTTCACATTAGATGATCAGAGCTCATCTATGTCTACTTAATGTGAGAATTTGCCCCCAAACCACTGACTGTGTTACATTTAGGTTATGCAAATATCATTTACAGTACTGCTGGCTTCTGTAGTCTTTGGAAAATGTTCAAATGAAGTTTGGCCTGATTCCTCATTCACTGTAATATTTCCAAGCTGTTGTTTAAGTCCTGGAATGTAAAACACAGAATAATTTATTGAATCTCATTCAGGCCTCGTTCAAATACCGCCTTTATCTGCCAGCCTACGCTGGAGCTTGTTTTAAAAGTGTGAGAAATATTCAGTGGTGTTGCTGAGAGCTTTTAGATGAGGCGACATGGTTGTTTTGGAGCAAAGTTAACTACAGGTTAGGCTGCTACAGCTCTGTCATTCACTCTGTTTGACACAACTGCCAAAGTGCACACACCCAGTGTCGCTCACTTTCAGCTGTGCTCATGACATAACCAAAGGTCTCATTTCTGAAAGAGATGATGCAAAAGTTCTACAATGTGCGCACCAGTATTTCTTATTTGAACCCTTTTTTTTGCTGTTTCCCATTTCATTCAATATTTTTATATTGTTTAGCAGTTCAAATAATTCTTGTTATTTGTGAATCTTATAATTTCATGTGTTAAACTTCTACCCTGAGAGAAGGAGCAAAGTACAAGGCACTGATAAATTGTCTGAATATAACAGCCCTGCAGTCATGAAGCACTTAGTCATTTCTCATTGGTGTTAACAGCATGCCGTCTGTGTGTTGATTCAAGTCTCTGGTAATTAAAGGCTGCTGTTTAGATTATTTGATTGCATTAATTTATAATTGCATTTTCACTATTGTATTTCCTAATTCAGTGAAAAAAAACTCTGTACTCTTTTATACTTATGAAAAATAGAAAGTTAACCTTAAGAATATTAAAAAAGAAAATGCTTGCCACTCTAGTATATAAATCTCTTTATTCAACAGCAATGGGGTGAACGTAGAAGGAGCAACACACAAGCAGGTGGTTGATCTGATCCGGGCCGGTGAGCGAGAGCTGGTGCTGGCCGTGCTGTCCGTTCCTCCCCAGGAGGCCGACTGCCTGGATCCCGGAGACGACGGGTCGGCCCAGTCCTGTTACGACTACTCCGACAAGCAGGCAGTGCCCATCTCTGTTCCCAGCTACAAACACACTGAACTCAACCATGAAAAGTTTGTGGTGGGTACACTCGTGCAAAAACACTCGGATGGATAAAAATGTTTTTGTAGTTGGACGCAGCCAGTCACAACTCAAGGCTTATGCGATTGTTACATTCATGAGATGTTTATATTCAGGTCTGTGAGCAACCTAATGTTCTGGATATTATAAATACCATCCTGTTGACTAAAGATCACCGCCTTTTCATTTTTATTTTTCCACTTTAACTCTTCCAGGTGTATAATGTGTACATGGCAGGCAGACAGCTGTGCTCCAAGCGTTACCGGGAGTTTGTGATTCTACACCAAAACCTGAAGAGGGAGTTTGCTAACTTTACTTTCCCCAAGCTGCCTGGAAAATGGCCTTTTTCCCTTTCAGAGCAACAGCTGGACGCACGACGCAGAGGCCTGGAGGAATATCTAGAGAAAGGTGAGGAAGAGAGGAGGAGAATCAGGCTTTCTTCATAGGGCTAGCACACAAACAGTTCGCTCACTTACAGTTGCCTTCCATATTGTTTGGAACAAAGATACAGCTTTGTAGTTTTGCTTCTGAACGCCACCACGGTTGATTGTAAATCAAACAAACAACACGTGATTATTCAGTTTTCCAAAACATTTGCATGACCTCTTTAAGGATTACACACATTTTTATAAACAGGACACCATTTTCAGAGGCTCAGAGTTAATGTGACAATTGACTGCTAAGCAGTTTTATGGCCAGGTGGTGAAGTCGCAGATGTCATTGTATAATGACTTTTATTTCACTTACACACACACACAAAAAAAACTGTATCTAATATAATGTGTGTTTCATCTGCAGTGTGCTCTGTCCGAGTCATTGGAGAAAGTGACATCATGCAAGAGTTCCTGTCTGAATCAGATGAGGTAAAAAAATAAAAATAAACGTGTCTTTTTGCCCGTTCCCCGCCTGTGACTCACTACGCTGTGTCTGTCTTTCTGGCTGTCTTTGCTGTGACCTAGAATTATAACGGTGTGTCGGATGTGGAGTTGAGAATAGCGATGCCAGATAAAACCACACTCACTGTCAGAGTTCGCAAAAATTCAACTACAGACCAGGTCTATCAGGTAAGCCCACACAAACACAGTCCTGTCCCCACTATAGCCACAACATTATTTCAGTCTCTCACTCTCATTCTGTGGCAATCTCTCGCGTTCAGGCTGTTGTTATGAAGCTAGAGATGGACAGTGTAACAGCCAGCTACTTTGCTCTGTTTGAGGTCATCAACCACACCTTTGGTGAGTAAGGGCAGGTAACTCAAGCACAGGTTGCATTTTTGCTAAAGCATAGCACAAATGTTGCTGTAGTTGCTATCTGTGATCACTAACAAGTGACAGAAAAGAAAATATCTGTATGCAGCCACCTTTTTTTATAATCATCTAGAAGCAAATACCTTATACATGAATAATCATGCTCATAATATGGTTTGTAAGGGCATTTATAATGATGTCACATTCGTTTGACAACGGTTAGTGTGTTGTTTGTGCCTAATTTAAAAAATGAAATAAAACTACAGTAGTAGCATTTCTGTTTAATGCACAAAGTTCTCTATGACCTGTGTCTATTACAGCAAGCACAAATGCACCACAACATTAGCAATAACCAGTCATATTTGACGAGAATGAAAGTTTTGCGTGTATCCACTAAAGTTTCAATTTGTTTCTTTCTTGCAAGGAATAAATCAGCAAATTCTATCCCCAGTGATGTGAAGAAAGCCATCCCCGTTTTATTTTTAATCAGCTGAAGAGCTGATAATTACAAGTGTATGCACTTGTGCTGTTCTTCCACACCCCTTCCACACCCACACAACACTTGTTTTTCCAAACTCTAGGAAGGGAATTGTTTAGCAGCACGAAGGAATCTTTCACAAGTAAAAAGAAGCATTTGTCTTGCAGTTCTAACATCAGTTACATTTACTTCAGTGTTTACTTTAGAATGTTGTAGTGTAATGTAAAGTTACACTCCTTATGCTGTAGGTGTAGATAACTGTGGCCTGATTTATTCTGTCTCAGAAGGCTCAGAAGCGTCATCTGTTTCTTGAAACGATCCTTAGCTTTGGTTTCACCGTAACATCGCTGTCTTTGGTTTTTGACCTTGCTTTGCCTTTCTTTTTTCCTTATTCGTGTTGCATTGTTTTGTATGGCTTGGTTACTGTCACAACATTGTATCACAAAGCAGAAAGTAACAAGCCTACAACCACATTAGCAGCTCGTGAAACTTTATTAATAAAACCTATTATGAAGAATGTTGTTTGTTTGTTTTTCATGCAAATTATCGTTATTTTATTAAGAACATTTCTAATGGATCGCCAGTCTTTTTTTCCCCCCGTAGTGCTTGTATTAAATTTCATGGCCATCATTCTGGCAGTTGCTGAACAAAAGACACTTGATTTACTGCTGTACAAATGTCTGTCGGACTGACTGACACACTGACAAAGAAACTGACCTTCCTGTGCAGCTAGCCTCACAAAAAATACAGCTCAGGTTATGTGACTTTATTGACATATCCAATAAAATGAAATTATATGAACTTAAATGAAACCCTATTGATTTTTGGTTCATAGATGGTATCCATATTTGTGGAAGAAGTACAGTTAAGTCTTAGGAGGTAGGATTTGTGCTGTTAAATGTTCTACAAATTTCTTTCATGTCTTCTTTCTTCTTTAGTACGTAAGCTTGCCCCCAATGAGTTCCCCCACAAACTGTATGTACAGAACTATACCTCAGCGATCCCAGGAACCTGTCTCACCCTACGCAAGTGGCTCTTCACCACAGAAGAGGAGATTTTGCTTAATGACAACCAGCTCGCTGTCAACTATTTCTTTCACCAGGTGCGTACACACTGTGTATTTGTCTGCTCTGTTTGGTATGCTTAGTGGATTTTGTATTTAATTGTGTCTCCTGTCTGACCTCTTTGCAGGCTGTGGATGATGTGAAGAAAGGCTTCATTAAAGTTGAGCAGAAGTCCTATCAGCTACAAAAGCTGGCCGAGCAGAAGAAGATGTCCATGGTGAGCCTTTTATATACAGCACGCTACTGTTTGAGAGTAACATGCACATACAGAGACCTTGTATTCTCACTACATCTGAGTGTGTCGTCCACTTTGTCACACTGCTTCATTCTTATTTCACTGAGTGTTATACCACAGTGTAAAAAGGAAGTAGTCTAAGAGCGAGTGTGTCACAGACACACATTCTTGCCAGCAAAATGTGCTCGCTGAAAGTGAATAAGTGAGTGAGCATCAGTAAATTACCGCCAATTTGAAGAGATTAAAGCTGCTCCAGCAGGTAAATAATCACATCCCGTTTCTAAATCAGTCAGGCTACAGAGAATAACTGCACTTTGCTTTATAGCCTTAAGTGTTTTTTCACAGTTAAAAAATGCACCCTGCATCTAAACTTCATTCAGCTGCAGAGCATCCTCTTGTTTTTCAGTTTGTGAAAAATATTTAGCTCACATTGCCTCTTCTCCCTCTTTTTTTTCACAGTACCTGAGTTTATTGCGAACTTGCGAAGGCTACAACGAGATCATATTCCCCCACTGTTCCTGCGACTCTCGACGTAAAGGCCACGTGATCACGGCCATCAGTATTCACCACTTCAAGCTGCACGCCTGCACAGAGGAAGGGACGCTTGAGGCAAGGCCTACTCTTTGCTGTGTGTGTGTGCGTGTGTGTGTGTGCGTGTGTGTGTGTGTGTGTGTGTGCGTGTGTGTGTGTCTGCCTTTTCTATACCTCTTGTGTAACAGGGTGAGTGTACTGAAGCCTTCGTGTTGTTCCAGAATCAGGTGATTGCATTTGACTGGGGGGAGATGCAGAGGTGGGACACAGATGAAGAGGGCATGGCCTTCTGCTTTGAATATGCACGAGGAGAGAAGAAGCCACGCTGGGTCAAGATATTTACTCCTTATGTATGGATCACACACAGATCACTGCATACATATTATGTTTATTTGTTAATACTGCTACAAATGAAATAATTGTAAAGAACTCTAAAAGAAAAAGTTCAGGATGAGGAGAGTTACTGCTATATTAAGAAGGAACAGATCATGGTAAATGGTAAATATGGTCTCTGCAGATATTTTATTGAGCAGATTGACACCACTTGTATGCCTTTACAGTAAATAAGAGGATGACACAAGCAGCCAGTAATTTTTTTTTTTTTTTTAAGTAGTGGTAGTAGTGAGCCTAGTTCACTTACACATTACATCATAGCAAACTTCCCTGTTTGTATGGATAAAATCAGCCAGATACACCTGCTAATTAACCAAAAAAAATGTTTGAAAAGAAGAAGCCCATATTTAATTGGAAATAGTACAAAAACATACCCGAGAAGTTGTATCGAATCTTGAAAAATCATCATTTTTAAAAAAAAGTTAGTACAGGTGCTTGTTTACTACTGTGTTACAACACATCTTCTTTCACCAGCTCTTAAAGCCTTTGGGAACCAGTTACTGTTGCTTTATAAAGTGTGTTTATGCTGAGATAAGTTAACCAGTTGGTGGATGTAAGTTAAACTATATTTACAGGCAAGTACAAGAAGGTGGTATCAAAGTTCTTATCAAACTCCTTGTAAAGAAAAGAAAGAGACTCTCATTTCTACTACTCTTTTAGAGCAGCGATGTTAGGCTCATTTTATATGGTGGGTGACATGCAATCACTTTGATCTCAAGTGGGCCGAGCCAGTAAAAATACAGGATAGATGTGTAAAATTAGAGAAAAGGGTATAATGGTTCACTGCACAGACTGTCCTGTAATTATAAAATATAATGGTTTTGTTAGTTTACTGCTGACTAATTAATATTTGAAAAACAGGACCGTTTATGTCATTTAATTATTTATCTGTTAATTACTTTAATTCAACATGAAAGCTAATGGGGGGTGGGCAGTTTGTATCAATAGGAAAAGCTGTAAAACGTATTAAATACAGTTAAAAACTTCAAATCTATGCACTCCTTCAAATTTTCTAAAGCTGTTCAGTGAGTCAGATTCTAGTCTTCGCTGGGCTCATTCTGACCCTTGGGCCTTATGTTTGACACCACTGTTTTAGAGAGAACCGTATAAACGCCAGTCTAAATCTGTGCTTCTCTTTGTCATTGTTTAGTTTAACTACATGCATGAGTGCTTTGAGAGAGTCTTCTGTGAGCTGAAATGGAGGAAGGAGGTAATGCCCTTCTGCTTCTTTACAGAATAATCTGCTCTAATACAAGCCATTTACTTCTGTCCTGTACTTACGGCAATAATGCATCTGTGCCTTCAGGTGGAAGAGGAGGCTACAGACAAGGACAATAAGAACTGCAGTAAAGATGGTATGTGTGGCAAGGTAAGGCTTTGCCTGCCTCTGTCCAGTTTGATACCAGTGATAATCCTTTTACTTTCTTGTTTTGGTGTTTTATACAGTTTCTTTTCCTTCTGTGTCTAAGCTTGTGGTTTTTACCCCTGGTTTCTGTTTCTGTAACAGAATATTTTCCAGCTGCTGAGGCACAGAAGGGATGGGGGCACCTAGGAAGGGAGATCGTTACCTCGTAACTACATCGCCATCACCACCTCAGCTCAGTTTTGGCCCTGACCTTCCCCCCCATACCCACCAGAAATCAGCTGTTAACTGCTTGGACGTCATTTAAACTCCATCAACTTCAACATGAGAAGCTCCTCCTTACATGCAAACCAACAAGCATCTGCTGATGAACACGTTGAATGAACAGACGCATAAAAAAAACCAAACTACAGACTTGTGTACCAGAACTCTCGAATCCAGCACATCGCGACCATGCATTAAGCAGAGCTCCGTTGAAAAGAAACGAGCTGCCTACAGAATCAAAGTGACGGATTCATGCGAGCCTTCCTCTTATTGGCAGGGACTTGAAGTGGAATGTGACGTGCAAACGATCGGGGTTTTGAACCTTCTTTTAAGAAGTCCTACTTGAAAAAGAGAGCTGAAAAGATTGGTGGACAAAGAAAGGAAAGTAAAAGTTGTTAGCTGCCCTCAGAAAGGGGACCACAAGATCACATTAATCACTGATTCGGAGGGGTGACCACAGGAAGACATTTAGCTTCTCAGTTTATGGATTAGAGCCTCAGTGTCCTGCGTCTCCATGCGTGTTATTAATATATGCAGAAAACCCCATCAGCTAAGAGAGAAGGGGCAAACCAGAGTCAAGCCCTGATAAAGTAAGTTACAGCTGAACCACGTCACATACATTAATTTCCATGTGTTGCGAACTGCATTTGCATTAATAATGTGACAAATGAGAGAAGGGATGAAGAACGCAGATTTTCTTTATAGGCTGTTTGTTTTTTTTTTCATATTTGGGTGCATATCAATGCTTAGACATATGTTGCACTTTATCCAGCAGTATTATTGACCTCCAAATGTGCATAGTATAATGTAAAAGGGCAATAGATGGAATTATAATGGAATAAGTACAGGTATACGTTTATCACTGACTACGGTGGAGTTATATACTGTGTGAGTGTGCAGAATTGTGCATTCAACTCTTAGGTAATCTTTTTAATGAACACACCATGCAAAATGTTTACGGCCATCGTGGAGCAGCGGTGATGCGGAGCTCCGCTCAGACACGTAACATCGTGCTTTACCCAGAAGAGGCAGCAGGGGTCCTTGTCCTCCTGCCGGCTCTTGAGCATGCAGTTATTACTTTTTTTTTCTGAGAGCTCCCACCGGATTTATAATGGGCCCGTAATTCAAATGGCCTTTCTATGCAGCACTATTTATCTGTGTAGCTGGTGCTTTGCTGTTGAATCACTTATTCTCTGCAGATTCGGGTTAAACAGGCTGACAGTCTCCGAACAAAAAAGCGATGGCTTTATCCTTCGACCATTTGACAAAATAAGGATTACAGTGCGCAGCCCGTAAAGACATCCTACCAGCCGATGATTCAAAAAGGTAAAGCTCAACACTGTAATGCCATCTCTAAATGAGCCCAGTTCAAGTTCCAATGTAATCAAAACAATTATGCAGTGAGCTAGAATCTAATTATTTGATGGTGCAATACAGAGCCTGACAAATAAACAAAAATGACAATTCATTGCGTCATTAAAACCTGGCGCTGCGATGGCTGAAATTAAACATTTATTATTGCTTAGTGCAATTTTGTGATCTCGCATCCTTATTAATGAAATCGTAATGTGTTGCACTTTTTTCATTTTGAAAGTTACCAGTGAGTCGGACAAATATTACATGGTTGTTTCTACACCAGTTGCTTTTACAAGGTGAGAGAAGAGCGGCATGTTCAGTTATTATTATCTTAATAGAGGTATTTTTAAAAATCAATATATTGAAAGCTGAGATTTGTTCTTAGGTTTAAATTAAAGCTTCTTCTGAGTCAACAGCAATTTTATAAAACAATCACGTTATAGGTTGTAGAAACAGAATATGATGCCACTGGCTTAATAGCATTAATATTAAAGATATCTACAAGACATTAGGGAGCTTTAAATTTACATCAGTGAGTCTACCTAAGAGTCCTCGTTATCGTGATAGCGCTGTTCACGGAAGCATTTTGGGGTGATTAATGAGCTTCAGCACACCTTTGTGAGGGTAGAAAGGAGGTTTAATTGAATGTGTTGAGCCTTGAATTGAGAGATTGAATGTGCAGTCTTAAAGGCTGAACACATTTCCCCAGGATTCGTGTCTGCTTACTGAACCATGTCTGACACAGTCGATTGTCTGGCATCGCCTGATCACCCCACCTTCAAGCCCATGGGCTCACCCATCCACCCCATTCCCCCTACACACACGTGCACACACTTTCTCATGCTGACTGAAGTTAGATGTCACGTACAGTTAGATTCGATTTTAAATTCAGCTGATGAGCGTCACACTAAGAAGGGGATGGAGAATGACAACCTACAGAGCCTTTGACATGTCAAAATGTAAAATTTAAGCAAGTGTTTGGTTACATCGCTTACTGTAATAAATTGTAACATATTCTTTTAAATAAACCGATTTATTGATGCAAAGTTGGTTGTTGTTTATTTGCAACTAACGTTGTGTGTTTGGAGCTGAGTCAAGGAGTGCGGAAATCACAAAGTGACAGACAGTCCCCACAGTGGGCAGAGCCAGATTTATCCTATAAAGTTGATTTTACACCTGTACCCGTGTCTTTATTCCACTCTTCCTCTTTTCCTCTTCTCTCCTCACCGGCTTCCTCTTCTTTCCCCAACTCCAGCATCTTATAATGAGATCTGGGAGACAATTACCCAATAGGCAGCGAGATAGCCGTTACATATCGACCTGCATCAAGTGTCTGCACCCAGTAATTAATAGGTATTGATTGCTGCTGGTGAGGTGGTGACTGAAAATGATCTTGGAATGGGTGAATTTTGAAAAGCTAAAAATCTTTGGACTGAAAATCTGTCCTGAGAGACCTCGTGGAAGTATTCAGACCTGAGTGCTGATTAGTTTCTGAGGAAGACACTTCACAAAAGAATTAAGCTCTATTCTAATAGTAGATCCACTGCTGATGGGAGTGCAAACTCATTTTCAGCTTCTGTGCATTTATTGCATGTGAAATTAGTTGTCATTTTGATATAAAAACATAAAAAGACCCAAGCGCTTCTCTCTTCATCTTCCCTCCAAGGAATTGCGTCTCCCTGCTTGCAACGCACCACAACCGTGTTGTGAAGCTTCTTTTGATTGCTTGAAAATGCTTTTTGCACAGCTGGAGCAGTGCCAAGTGTTGTTCTCTGTTATAGAGAGCTTTTTAACGGCCTCCAGCATGAAAGATTACAGGCTGGCCTAAAATAAAAAGGTGAGCTGTTTCTGAAGGTTTGATCACCTTTTGTAAAATATTCACCAGCAGGCCTGAAAAACTTACTTTTAATGGGTAAGCATTTGTATCTCACAACCCTGATACATCCCGCCCACATAATATGATGGCTCTGATGACTGGTGACATATAATGGAAAGAGTCACTTAGGTATTTAGCTAAATTGCTTAGTTTCAGTGATAATTTAAGTTCAGTTTTTTAAGTCCAAATTTCAGTGAACTAAATGAAGTCTTAAAATTGGAGGATGATACGGCTGGTAGTATTTCAGAATCTGCAGATCTAGTGAAATTTTCACACACAACCAACTCTAGGGTTTACAGGGAATGGTCTGAAAAAGAGAAAATATCCAGTGAAAATGCCTTGTTGATACCAGAGGTCAGAGGAAAAGAGCCAGACTGCTTTGAGCTGATAGGAAGGCAACAGTAACTAAAATAACGTCTTGCTGCAACCAAGGTGTTCAGAAGAGCACCTCTGAGGGCAGCACATGAAGTAGATGAGCTACAGCAGCACTCATTTGGATTGTACGGTCAGAATTTGGTGTAAATACCATGAAATCGTGAATCCATCCTACTTTGTATCCACAGTTCTGGGTGCTGCCTGTGGTGTAATGATGTGTAATGATATTTTATGACCATCTTCTCATGGCTGCTTCCAGCTGGTTCACACACAATGTCACAAAGCTCAGATCATCTCGTGTTTGTTGAACATGACATTGAGTTCACTGTCTCCACAGTTACCAACACCATCTAATAGAGCACCTTCTGATGTGTTGATTCACATCATGCATGTGCAGCTGACAAATCTGCAGCAACTGTGTGATGCTGTCACATCGACATGGACCAAAGTCTCTGAGGAGTGTTTCCAGCACCTTGTTAATTCTATGCCGCTAAGAATTAATGCAGCTCTGAAGGTAAAAGAGGTCCAACCCAGTAAAGGCAAGCTGTACGTAATGAAGTGGCCACTAAATGTACATTCTGAATTATAGATACATTTTGATATATAAAATTCAACACTTTAGAGTTAAAATATTAATAGATAAGTGTTGTTACAGTGGCTAAGTGATCACCCTTACTGTCTCGGTTGTCTAAGTCTGTGTGTGTGCATATTGCATATTCTCGCTGCACTGGTGGGTTTCTTCAGTTTACATCTAAGTAAGGAGTGAGCTTCTGTGGAAAACCTATTATGGGCTGGCAACCTGACAGCTCCTGCTTGTCATGCTGACTGTGGCAAAAGCTGATTGGCAAGTGAGTGAACTATAAAAACAAGTTTCAGCTTATTTGAGTTCAGCAGCTTTTTCACATTTTGATCAATTAAACTTTATTAAAATACAAGACAAAAATGGTATTTCAGCGATTACGCCATCCTTTTAGATTGTCTCCCTGCCTTATTTTTCCCACATAAGCAAAAAAATTGCAAAGCGAGAGCACTGCACAAGCAGCCGTAAGTGAACAGTTTGTGTGGAAGCGATCTGAAGCAACAGAAAGAGACAGCTTCAGGACCATGAGTGGTTACTGCATTAGGTCTGCAGCAGAGCCCTTACTTTACCACTCGATGTGTGCGTGGGTTTGTGTTTGCGCTGCTCTTGGTATCCGTGGATGTGTGTGTGTGTGTGTGTGTGCGCGCAGGTACGTGCGACAGCTGCAGCCACAGATTGCAGTGGCCCCTTGATAGACACGACGCGTCTTCTGCATCCCGCTGCATTGTGCTCGTTTGTTTGGATGACTCAGTGTGCATCTCCTCCCAATAAACAGATCTGCATGAGCTGTCGACACAAAGCAGGTGGAGGAAAGAGCCAGTGAAGGAGGAGAGTATCTCAGATTTATTACCTGCGCTGTAGTGCATCTCTCAGCAGCCCAGTTTTACAGACAAAAGGAGTTCAGTAGGCCGTTGAAATACACAGAGATTTCTCCAATAGTGAACTAGCCTACAGCACATAGAGGACAAGTCAAATTAATAGCCTCGGGGTAAAGGTGCGAGTCCGGCTGTGCCAAGACACCAATTTGCCAAATTCAATCCTCATAATGTGCTTGCATTATTTCCCAGTCAATCATTTTAAACGAGAATTTTTGCCAAGATCATCACATAAATCCCAGTGAGGACATCCTCTTCCAGTTCTGAATAAACATCAAGTCACCCATAAATGCTAGACACAGTACAGTTCAGCAGCAGTATAGAGGAGAGGGAGGAGGAGGAGGGAACGTTTGTTCTTCACGTTCTTCCTTCCCCTGTCTCATTAACGAGCAATCAGTTAAAAAACTTTATTGGTCTCTTGCCGCTTTCTCAGCACATTTTTTTGCTCCCTCCTCTGTTTCTCTCAACCAAGTCATGAGACCACCTTGTTCTATTCGTCGTCTCTTTCATTCTGCATCCTTTCTGTCGGTGTCTCTCTGCAAAGCCCTCCCTTCCTGCGACGCCCTCTCTTTTTTCCTTTTGCCCTCTCTATTGCTGTGCTTCATTACCTCTATCTTCCCTTTTCCTCTTTGGCTGTTCCCCTTCTCCTTCACTCCCCCTGTCCTCTGTTCCTACGTCGCTTTGAAAACTTGGACTGGGAGGAGGCGAACGAGGGAAAAGACTGAAAATTTGATGCATGTGGAGAGAATACAAAAGACAAGATTGTTTATTTCTACTGCCATTATTTACAGCTCAGTCTGTCACAGCCCTGGTAATAAAGTGTCCAACATCATACATTACATTAAAAATCACAATCACAGGGACTGCATTTTTCTGCATACACAACAGCGCGAGCGTGGCAATAGATGAGCGAGAGTAATGCATGTAATTAAATAAAAGCCTTGGGAAATTTACATGACTAATCATCGATTCTTCCTTTGCAGTCTGAATTTTACTGATACCAGAGCAGATAAACTATAATATTACAAATCATGAACAAAATAAGGAGTTTTGAAACATTTCTTTTCAGTGCAGTAAGCTCTCATAGATAATCAAAAAGCATCCTCCTTAACGATAAACAGAGGGCATGTTTGAAACATCACGTCGATGCAGTGTGTAAGTTTACAGAAACTAAAATGCAATAGACAGAAAATATTCCCTTGACGGTATGCGAGAGGTGTTTTTTAGCACTTCACTACCATCTCAAGCAAACACAGTTGCTAAAGAAGATGCAGAAGTTCATCCGTAGTGCCTCTGATTCATCACATTTTTTGCAGGCATAGACATCCTTCTAAAAGAAAACCTTGAAAGAAAATGAATTCAATTGAAACCCATACACCACCTTGATACTGTTAACAAAATATGGGCACTGCAGATTTAAGAAATAACAGTTTTCACTGATACTCAGTACACAAAGCTAGGCTTGATGTAACCCTGAGCTTTTAAACTCTTACATAAGTTCTGCTTTAAAACCTCTATGTCTAGTTTCTCTTGACTGGGCAGCTGTAATCCTATTTTACAAATTTAATCAAGTCAGGCTGTGGGATAACTATCTTTAAGGCGTCTATTTCACAAAAAGCATTTATTTCTAGACTAAATATATGTTAGTTAGTCCACAAACCATCATTAAATAATGAAACAAAGCACTGTAACAGTGTTGGAGGCATGATGAGGTCTACAGTATACAGGATAAAGGACGAAACTGACGCGTCACGGTCCATGAAATACTCGCTGTTTACTTCCGACTGTCTTAGAGAGCAATTGTGCTTCCAGCACGTCCGTATCTGTGTCATCTCTTAACACCTCCTTGGTCTATCAAATGTCTTTTTTTGCCTCTTAGAGGAAGTCTTTTGAGAGTGCTATTCCAAAGTTGGGTGCAGCCATAAGGATAGCGATGGTACAGATAATGTTGAAAACACTGAATCCAACCAGGCACAACCGGTCGATGACCGCCGCGGCAAACTGCCACTGCTCTGCCAAGCTCAACTGACGGTCCTGCTCACGAACACGTTCAACTAAGAACTGCACCTCTGCCAGAAGAGCCTGCAGCTGGTTGTCCACTGCCACAGATCGAATCATCCCACTGTGGGCATGCAACACAGCTGATCTCCCAGTCCCAGCCTCTAAGCCGCAGACTCCAGAAGCTGTGGTTAATTGGTCAGGGTCCAGGCACACTGGAAGTTCCTGTGTGGGGCTCACAAACTTAGAAGATTGGTGTTGGTGATGAAGTGGTATATCGCTGACTGGTCCCCCTCCTGCTCCTGCTCCCTCTCCTTCTCCTAGTTCACTGTTACCCCTACCATGACTGGTGGTTCTGTTTCTCTGGATCGGTTCCAGCTCTGCTGTGGTGTGGAAGGTCTGGAATCCCATGTAAGGCAGATGCCCATTAGGCTGGGGTTGTGGGTTGGGATCTCTGTGAATGGGATTAGGGAGGATGATAGCCTGAGAGTTTGGACGGTGAGGCAGTGAGTGTGGCAAAGAGAGGTTGAGCTGTGCCAGGCTGGCCTGCAAGGAGTTCAGGCCCTGTGGGAGGACGGAGGGCGCTGGTGTGGGGATGGTGGTGGTGGTGGTGGTTGGAGAGGACAGGGTCTTGCTTTGGGAGTCTGCCTGACTGTTGGAAAGAGTAGGCTCCACTCCCTCACCTGGACGCTTCATTCGCAGAAACCAGGGAACCCACTGCAGCAGAACTAAATTCACCTGAAAGATACGGACACAGATACAAACATAAACACACTTCAGATAAATATGTATTGCATTGTGTATAATATCTCACTCACTGTCACAACTTACCCAGCGTGGCATGTGTCCACTGTCGGGGTTATGGTGATGGAACTGGAGGACGATGACTGTGGCTACCACTGACATCCCAACTATCACCATGGTGCTGGCGAAATACTGACCTGAAACACACGTGAGACTTTGCTACTAATCTGTTGGCTATAAACGGGATTATCATCCTGCAAAATCTCCAACACTGACATGCAAATTCACATGCAGTTGAAAAAAAACCCTGACCTATCAGTGGTACAGAATCTGAAGTGGCGGGCATAATCTCTGCAACCATCAGCATGAAGACAGTCAGAGAAAGCAGAACTGTGATGCCTGGAGGCCAACACAAGACACCGGGGAGTTGTGGGTTGCAAAAAAAAAGAAAAGAGAAAAGAAAAAGCCCTTAAGAGAAGAAAATACATGAGTAAACTTAGTAGAACTGTATATTTGGTATGCTGTACTTGACTTCTCGCCATAATCATCTGGATTACTGACACTCCCAGGAAAACTTATTCGATTTTACTGTTTTTCATCTTCCCTCTCATCTTTTCTGCCTTTGTCTTTCCTCCCTACCACGACATCCCTCCTGACACTGTACAAAGGCTCTGACTGAAGGTTTTCCAATATTGTTAACAGAGAAAGACTGCTGGAAAAACACTGGAGTGAAATAAGCCATTGCCTTCTCAAGAGGAGTGAGGAATAATATGCAGCTAGAGAACATATTTTATCTTAGAAGCAGATTCAGCTCTTGTTTTTCATTATCTCCCTTGCTTATTGTCAGGCTGTGCCTTGTCCCTGCTCCCCTGGTCACTTATTATTCCTCACCCAGACTGATTTTCTCCCCAGAGTTGGCAGGCAGCAGGAAGACCAGCAGGGTCATGGAGGAGAGGAGCACACAGGGGATGAGGAGGTTGAGAGCGTAGAACAGGGTCCTTCTGCGTAACGTCACCACAAAAGTAACGTCGGGGTAAGGCTCTACACAGCATTCATAGAAAACCTCATTACGACCTCCTGGGACCTCTGAGAAAAATTAGGAAGCATAGAGATATAGTAACTGCGTAAGCGATGAGAAAGCAGGGAAGCAAAAAATAAAGAATATCAGAAAATCAATATAACTAATGAAATGTATTTTGGTGCATCCACTGAATATTTGTGATTGTGTGTGGGGAAAACTGCATGTATATCCAATACTGTGCAACAGTCTCGAGTCATTTCTTTATATTTTGCTTCCGAGAAGACAGACTTGCTTGAATTCTTTTTTAAAAATCGACATGAGCAATAGTTCTCTCCTCTCTCTGAAGGTCTTTCACATTTTTTTGTTTGTTAAGCCACTTAACACAGACCTGGGAATCATTCAAGTGTAAAAAATGTGCCTATCTCAAGGGATGAACCAGTGTTGTGTGTACACTTAACAGCAGACAAGTTCGCTAAGAACTATTTTAAATTGTATTACTTTATTAGACACTAGCGGCCTATTGCAAAAAACATTGAATTTGTTCAAATTTCTTTATTTCAATCTAGGAAACATGCCAAAGATAACACAGTTTGACAGGCATAAAATAGTGTTTTTACACCCACAAGGTGATTCCCAAAGTACTATTAGCTGAAAACTTGGCATATCTGGGCAAGGTGGGCAATGTGTCCTTAATAAATTTGAGGAAACTGGACAAGTGGAGGACAAAAAAAAGAAGTGGGAGGTCTAAAAAACAATCTACCAGAGATGAACGGTATCTGAAAGTCATGTCCTTAAAAAACAGCAAAGACCTGTCACAGTGCCTGAGATGTATCTGGCCATTCCATTGATGCATCTACTGTCATCAGAAAGCCTCAGTGGAAGCGAGGCTGTCAAGAATCCATTTTTAAGGAAGGGAGACAAGGAGAAAAAGGCCGAGGTATGCCAAACTACTCAAGAACTGGACTGAAAATCAGTTCAACAGGATGGAAAGATGACTTCAAATTCGAAGTTCAAATCATTGTCAAGGTCAGGAGAGAGGTACAACAGTAAGTTTCGACAGCCATCCTTTAAACACAGCCGAGGCTCTGTCATGGTTTGTGGCTGCATTTCAGCTGGTGGTGGTGTTAAAACTGATGGAAATATGAATGCAGAAAAGTACTATCAGAATTTGATCCATAATGCAACTCATCTAGAAAGCATCTGATAGGCAGCAACCGCAGTTTTCAGCATCAAAATGATCCAAAACACACTGTCAATACAGTAAAAGGATACCTGGATAGAAAAACACACATAGGAACACTATCAGTCATGGATTGATCTCCCCAGAGATTGGACCTCAACATTATTGAAGCAGCGTGTGATCATAAAAGGCAGTCATCATCCAAAGAAGAGCTTTGAATCTCCTTCAAGAAGCTTTGAGAATTACTCCTGGAGACGCTTAAAGAAAGAGTTCAGGCCATGCTGATGAATAAGGGTTGACTTTGAAGCTCATTAGAATTGCACAAGCTGTGGTTTTTGCCATACATACTATATTCTGGGTGGGTTTTTTATGCAGGTTTAGTAAATTACTGCACATATAATTAATATTATCCTATCAAAGTATTAAAAAAAATAAAGAGTACAAGACTTTTGCACAATACTGTAAATCAGAAATCTGGCACAGGACCAGCATTATAAAAACAGAGCCCTTAAGAGACTGTAGAAACCAAGGAGTGATGCTATAAAAATTATGATTCCGTGTTGCATGGGATATTTTATCAGGATGTAAACGTGTATGGAAATATAAAACATCATAGCAAAAAGCATTCATGTTCTTCAGCTTCTATGGCAACAAATCAGACATGCACTCATATATAATATGTATTCATTAAGTGAGTCTTTACAATTGCAATACTGTATGGTGTTAATGTAAGCACAGTTACTAAGCAACACAGTCTGTCATCCATGCTTTTGACAGCTGATCCTACCCAGTAGGTCCCACTCGCCATTGGGCATGTATCCTGATACATCTGCCTTCTTCATCTGGATGTCCAGCAGCCAACCATCAAATGTCCATGAGCCAAACTTCAGCTCACAGCGCTGGATGTCAAATGGAAACCATCTCACATCGACATTACATGTGCTGATAAAAATTCCTTGAAATGCATAAATAACAAGAAAAAGCAAGTAAATACTGGATAATAAAATGAAGGTTGCTCAGTGGTGCAACCATGTGGAATTAAAGGAAGACGAAGTTATTTAATGAAACGCTGCAGCATTAATAATAGTGCAATTATGCAGAATGATTAAAGGTCTAAATGGTTTGAAGGAAAATATAAACCTCTGCTAAAACGTACCTGGAGGCAAATACTCACAGAAACCACTGGAGTTGACCAGCACATAGGTCTTAAAAGTCGCATCAAACTTATCATGAGCGCTGAAGGACAATAGCACAGTGACCAGTCAGCAATTACCAGCAGCACTGGTTGCACACACCCGTATTTGTACGTCACATACCTGTTATACAGCAATATGTCAGGCGTCCAGACCTGGTCGGGGGTAAAACGAAGGTTCTTAACTCCAGGATATTCTGACTGGTTCCACTGCAGGTAGTGGTCGTACCACTGCTGGGAGACACAATTACAACTCCATGAATGGAAAATGCTATTTAAAAAATACTCTCCACAAATACATAAAAAAAACTGAAGGAAGACACACCCATTATGATTTCTATATCGTAGTAGATATACAAGCAGCTTATCCTTCACAGCAGTAATGTCAAACTCGTTTTAGGTCATAGGCTACATACAGCCCAAATTGATCTTAAGTGGGCGGGGTGAGTGAAACTCCCTTTTTTGTCAGTGCAACGAGTCCTTGAGATATCTTGATGTAGGAAAAAGAAGTGTGATTTCCACAGTACATCTCAGTTTTTCTGCATGATAAAAATGTTGCTGTAGTAAATGAAAGGAAGCTGCCAGCAAGATTTTGGGGGCTTGTGAGAAAATGTGTAATGAAAATGTTCCCATAGCTCATTTATTTATTTATTTATTTCACAGTGGCCCCAGTTTAAAAAATGAAATTTTGTTTTATAGTAGATATTTTAAAAAGAAGAGGAACTTTATGCGGTACTTTATTATTTTGGTGTAGTATAAATTGCTTTTCTTAAAAATCCTGAACTCACACCTTCTTTAACATTTTCTAAATCCACCCTGTGGGTCGGACTGGAATCATGCCTGGCCAATTCTGGCCCACTGGCCTTATGTTTAGCACCCCTACTTTACGGTATGTCTCTCCTCTTTTACAGTTACAGTTCTGACAAGTTTCTCCCTGGTGAAGAGGGAATTCCTTATCTCAGCAGAAGATGGTAAAGTTGTCTGAGGCAAAACTTTGATATGGGTTATAAAAAATAACGCTGACATGAGACAAACAGCTTAGTCGTTTGGCCCAGATTCAGCCAATTCTCAAGATACTCATAATAAGGTCATGTTTGGGGTTGAAGGAAGAAGCTGTTCCCTGCTGAGCAGCATATAAACTAAAACCCAACTTGCATCTAGGTTGATACTGTGCATCTGCAATGGCTTTGGGTAGACACAGATCAATATTACATTAATGTTATCCATTATACTCACCATCTGCAGCCAGGCGTTTGTGGTGAGCAGCTGGTTCTTTTCATCCTTACATGGCAGAAAGAAAATGAGAGAATAAATGATTTCGTGTTTGAAAGAATGAGCTCACATGTTGCAAAATGGTCTTAAAACAATGTACACTGACTTTATATTTAAATGATTTCTGGCTTTTGTAATTGTGTCCCACGTCCGTGCTTTCTTGTGCTTTTCTAATGTATGTGATGTAAAGTGTCCACAATCCTCTTTACGGGTAAAAATGTCCTTTTAAAATCTTTCATACGGGATAGAAAATCATGTGGATATCTACCAAAGTAGAGATTTTTATATTATGCAAGTCATTAGTAACTTTCCTCTTTTTGTGACTGTCCCTGCACTGAAGTTAATCAAGAACATGCTGT